CAAGGCCAGAGCCAGAGACAAGGCCAGGGCCAGAGACAAGGCCAGAGCCAGGACCAGAGCCAGCCGGGCCCCGGGAGCCGCGCGCGCCGCCAGAGCCGCCACTGACCCGAAGTCCTGGTCCATGGACTTGAAGAAGAACTTGTAGCAGTGAGCCGGCCGGTTGCTGAGCACGCTCTTGAAGTCCGCCAGCGTGACCCGCTCGGGGGCCACCGGCAGCTTGACCAGGTAGGGCGTCTCCTCCTCGTCCATGTGGTAGATGATCTTGGTCTCCGCCATGGGGGGCGGGCCGGGGGAGCCCGGGGCAGGGGGAGCCGGGGGCGGAGGAGGCGGTGGCACTGGTTCAGCGCGGAGCCCGGAGTGCGGGGCCCCGAGTGGACCGCGGCCGCGGCCGCAGGAGCGGAGGCCGGGCGCCGGGGGCTCGGGCTTTCTGGGCCGGCGGGGCCCAGGCCCTGGTCCAGGCCGCGGAGGCGGAGGCGGCTCCGGATCGCGCAGGGAGGCCGGGCCAGCCGCAAGGGGAGGCCAAGGCCGAGGTCCAGGCGGAGGCGGTGCGCCGGCTGCTGCCCCCCGCGCTGCCCCCGCGGCCGCCCATCCGCGCCCCGGCCCGGGCGCGCCGGGGGAGGCCGCCTCGGACGCCTGCCCGGGGTGGGGGGGCTTCGGGGCCACCGGCCGGGCTGGCTGGAGGCGGGCCGGGGACTGACCGAGCTCTAAAGGGCCGCGGCGGCGAGAGCCGGAGCCGGAGCCGGAGCCGGAGCCCAAGCGGGCCACAGACAGGCGAGCGCCGAGCCCGGATCGGGGGCTCCCAGCGCCCTGCAATTAGCGGCGTGAGTAATGCGGCCGCCCCGCCCGGCCAGGCCCGGCCCCCTGCCCCCGGGCCCCCCCCCCCGCCTGCCTCCCCCGGTGACGCCCCCCCCCCCCCCCGAGCCCCGGCCCCGAACCCCGTCCCAGCGCCCAGTCCCCCGCCCGCACCCGCGCCGGCACCGCCCCCCGCCCCCTCGCGACGTCTATGCGCGTGGCTCTGCCTCGCCCCCCTCCGCAGCCAAGGGCTGAGTTAAAGGGACCGCAGCCCCAGTGGCCGGGATCCCGGGGGAGGGGAATGGGGAGGGGCAGCCGGGAGACATCCCACCTTGTCCCCCCACACCGACCCCGGCGATTATGACCGGGTGGGGAGGGGGGACTCCACGGTCACGAGACTCCTTAATGTGCCCGTGCGTCCCGCTTGCTGAAGGCTGCCGGGGTTTGGGAAGGCTGCTCGCTGCCCCGGGAGGCGATCGCAGCCCCTGTAGCCAGGAGTCTGGGGCCCGTCCTGCACAGTGTCTTGCGTGTGAGGACCCGACGGGTTCCCGCCGTCCTTCTTGGTGTCCGTCTCCTTTCCTCAGTCAGTGTGCCTATCTCTGCGTGTCTCTATATCGGACCTTCTGTGTGTGTCTAGCTATGTGTCACTTCGTGTCTCTTTCTCCCTGTTCCTGTTTTTCTGTCTGTCCAGGTGTCTCTGTCTCTGTGTCTGTATATATGGGTCTCTCTGAATCTCTGTCTCTGGCTGTGTCACTCCATGTCTCTGTGTGACTCTTCCTCCAGGCTCCATATCTTTCATTTCTATTTCTATGACTTCATGTTTCTCTGTGTCTCTGTCTCGATGTCTGTATATGTACCTGTCTGTGTCTCTGGCTGGGGTGTGTTTCCTACAGAGGTCTCCCCCAGCTGCCTTCTGCTAGAATGGCTCTTTTGTTGTTCAGTAGTGTCTGACTCTTCATGAGTGGGGTTTTGTTGGCAAAGATACTGGATCAGTTTGCCATTTCCTTCTCCAGCTCATTTTTTACAGATGAAGAAACGGGGGCATACTGGGTTAAGTCACTTGCCCAGGGTCACACAGCTAGTAAGTGTCTGGGGCTGAATTTGAACTCAGGCAGATGAGTCTTCCTGACTTCAGGCCAGAGGTTCTATCCACTGCCCTACTTCTCAGGCCCTGGGAGGGAGCCTGGTTCCTGGATCAGTCACTTACATCCAAGCAAAGGAGGTGACCTCTGAGGTCCCCAGCAGCCAGAATACTGAGTGAGGACTGATAATATTGTTACAGATTGGTAACTGATACAAGGTATCTGTCAGATGCACTGGGAGCTTGATTCTCTCTGAGCTGCTCTCCCAGAAGCGAAGCAGGAAGGCTTGACATTTTGGTTACTATAGGGGTTTTTTTGGGGGGGCCCAGGCCTAAGAAACAAGGTGGCACAGTAGACAGAGAGCTGGGCCTGGAGTCTGGAAGACCTGAGTTCAAATTTGACCTCATACTAGCTAAGTGACTGTGGGCAAGTCACTTAATCTCTGCCTCAGTTTCCTAATCGGTAAAGTAGGAATGATAATAGCACCTACCTTCCTGGGTTGTTGTGAAGATCAAATGGGATACTATTTGTAATATTGTAATATTTGTAATAATATTTGTAGCACAGTGCCTGGAATATAGTAGATGCTTAATAAAAGGTTGTTTCCTCCCTCCCATCATGGAAACTCCTTCCACTGATGCAGATGGGCAAATCTGACATCTGGTCTGGATCCCAAGTAGTCCTCCATGTCTGGAATACACTCCTTCCTCACTTCCCTCTACCTCCCTTCAAAGAATAACTCCGAGACAACCTTTAGGGAGCCTTTCCTCATCTCTCTAATTATTAGTACTTTCTCCCCCTTGAAAAAAATTAATTTGGGGAATGATTGAACAGGTTGTAGCATATAATTGTGATGGAATACTATTGTGCTGCAAGAAATGGTGAGAATGATGAGGGGGAGAAACCTGGGAAGATTTGTGTGAACTGATACAAAGTGAAGTGAGCAGAACCAGGAGAACATAGTACACAGTAACAACAACATTGTAACAATGATCATCTGTAAAAAACTTAGCTACTCTACTCAAGAGAATGACCCATGATAATTCCAAAGGACTCATGATGAAAAATGTTATCCACCTCCAGTGGGAGAATTGATGGAATCTGAGTACAGATTGAAGCAGATTTTTTTCATTTTTAAAATTTTTCTTGCTTTTTTTGGGGGGGAGGGGACACTATAGCTAATGTGGAAATACGTTTGTGTGACTTCTTATGTTTGATGACATCCTATTTCTTGCCTTCTCAATGAATGGGGGCGGGAGAGAATTTGGTACTGAAAATTAAAAAAAAATTTTAAATGAAAAAATATCTATCTAAATGTGTATGTGTGTATGAATTTAAGGTTTGCAAAGAGCTTTACTAATATTATCTCATTTTATCCTCATGACAACCCTGAGAGGGAGGGAGGGAGGTGCCATTATTATCCCCATTTTAAAGATGAGAAGACTGAGGTAGATAGAGGTCAAGTGACTTACTTGCCTAGGGTCACACAGCTAGTAAGTAGTTCCTGACTCTTGGTCCAGTAACTTTATCCACCGCACACTAACAGCAATAACAATAACAACTACAACTACTACTATTATTATTATTATTATTAGCATCATTATTATTAGCATTTGGCCGAACAAGTTACTTAACTTCTTATGGTCTCTAAGACTGTGAATCAAAGAGAAGGTATTGACCTGCACTAGCAGAGGAAGTTTCCTCTTCTGAGGGTGCCCTATCCCAATGAAATCATGGTCCTGTCCCCAGCCCTATCTTTTTCTGAAGTTCTTTAAGGTTTGCATATGTACATATACATATAATATATGTATATATGTATGTATGTGTGTATATATGTATATAATCTCATTTGATCCTCACGACAACCCTGTGAGGTAGAGAAAGGCTGCTATTTTTCCCATTTTACAGATGAGGAAACTGAGGCTGAGAGGCTAAATGATTTGCCCATGGTTATATAGCTAAAAAGATTCCATCTAAGGTCTTCTTTAACCTTGTTTAGCACTCTATTCACAAGGACACCTAGCTGTCTTTGGCACCAAACTGCACCCTAACCTTACTTAGCAAAGGTGGGGGACTGTGGGTGTGGATCACTGAATATGGTGTCAAACTTTTTTGATGTGTTGATTAGTTTTGTTAAATTGGTCGTTTTCCCTCTTTTTTATTATTTGTTATAAGGGAGGGCTCCCTAGAAAGGAGGGGAAAGGATGGATTGGGGAATGTGGATGATGTGAAAAACAAAAGATATCAATCAAAATTATTTTTAAAAAGAAACTGCATTTTACAACTTTATCGATCTTTGCATTTACATATGTACACACACGTTGTGTATCTCAGTAACATGTCAACTCCTTGTGGGCGGGGACTCTGCTACTTTTGGGGAATGCTTAGTAAATATTTGTTGGTTGGGTCATGGAGAGGTTAAGTGATTTGCCTGTGGTCCCTCAGAGACAAGACTTCCACCCAAGTCTTCCTTCCTCTGAGGCAGATCTCTGATCCACTTGTAAATGATGGAAGTTCAGTTTTATATAAAATCATTTTAAAATGTGCTTTCTCTATTTCCATGTTTGTTTTATGAATGGATATTAAGTGTGGCATTAAAAAACACACACAATTCAAGCTTGTGTGGTATTGGTATAGGTAATACTTACCCCTCACTAAAAAAAGTCGTCATTCTTAGCTCTTCTGAGCAATGCAATGATCTAAGACAATTCCAAAAGACTCATGATGGAAAATGCTATCCACATCCAGAGAAAGAACTATGGAATCTGAATGCAGATCGAAACATACTATTTTCTCTTTCTTTTGTTATTTTTTGTTTTTTTCTTTCTCGTGGTTTTTCCCTTTTGTTCTGATTCTTCTTTTGTAACATGACTAATGCGGAAATATATTTAATATGATCATACATGTATAACCTATATCAGATTGTATGCCATCTTGGGGCAGGGGGAGGGGAAGAGAAATTTAGAACTCAAAATCTTATAAAAGCAAGTGTTGAAAACTAAAAATAAATTAATTAAAAATTTTTGTCATTGTTCAGTTGTATCTAACTCTCTGTGACCCCATTTGATGTTTTCTTGGCAAAGATACTGGAGTTGTTTGCCATTTCCTTCTCCACCTCATTTTACAGCTGATGAAACTGAGGCAAACAGGGTAAGTGATTTGCCCAGAATACCACAGCCAGTAAATGTCTGAAGCTAGATTTGAACTCAGTAAGATCAGTCTTCCTGATTCCAAGCCTGGTACTCTGTCCACTTTACCACCTAGCTGCCCCTTTTCTCAGAGAGTAGCTGTAACTAAATAAATCATCTTGCTGTGGCCGGCCTGTTGGCTAGCTTTCCCCCACCTCCACCCCAAAGTCCTAATTTAGCTCTGCTAGTCCTGGGCTAAAAGACCCATAGAGGTCATCGCTGAGCTGTCCTGGAGGTTCTCCCAGTTTGCCAGGGCTTGCCAGGGCCCCCACTCCATTGGCACAGCCTTGGAGAATCCAG